ACCCACTACCGGATATAAGAAACCTAACAAATAAATTCAGGAGTTTGATAAAAACAGAACACTGTGATTATCAGAGCTTAGATAGCTCTCTAAAACTATACTTGAATAAATCAAGAAAAACAAGTCATTATTCTCCACTACTGTGAATATGATTTATAGATTGAGTCAAACTCGCTGACAAAACTGATTTTTTAATCAAGTATTTATTGATTATTTAACCGCAGTTAGGTATTTTAAAGGAACTGAACCTAAAGAAGGTGGTATTATTTAGACAGATTAAAAAATTAGAGAAACTAAATCACTTAATTGAGTGGGAGGGGGGATCGGGATGGGGAATACGTGTAAATCCATGGCTGATTCATGTTAATGTATGACAAAAACCACTACAATATTGTAAAGTAATTAGCCTCCAACTAATAAAAATAAAAAAAATTTTGAAAAAAGATAATTCACCATCTTGGATTAAAAATTTCAAAAAAAAAAAAAACAAAAGGAGATCTCCCAATTAATACCAAAATTCAAAACCAGGTCTGTCTGACTTCAAGACAGAGACAGAAGCACCATAGGAAACATTTGGCTTGATCGTCCAGATGTGATTTGGAAAAAAAAAAAAGATGTCTGCAGTTATCAAACAATTCATGAATGACTTCAATAGACTTCTTAAGTCAGACAAATCCACTTTGAAATCCTATTTTTGTCATGTGTGGAATCTTGGGCAGAAGCCTGAGCCTCTCCTTGCCTCTGTGGTCTATAAGATGGGAGTGACAAGATCTCATGTAGTGCTTCTTAAGATTATATGTAAAGCATCTAGCAGTACAGTATCCGACACACTTGCCACTGTAAAACAAAAGAAGAGGTTTTTACCAGGCTATACCTGTATAAGAAAGTCAGTCAGTCAGTCAGTTCAGTCGCTCAGTCGTGTCCAACTCTTTGCAACTCCGGACTTGCAGCACGCCAGCCCTCCCTGTCCATCACCACCTCCCAGAGTTGACCTCCCTGTGTCACCACCTCCCGGACATGAGCTGAAACTCATGTCTGTTGAGTTGGTGATGCCATCCAACCATCTCATCCTCTGTCATCCCATTCTCCTCCCGCCTTCAACCTTTCCCAGCATCAGGGTCTTTCTTAATGAATTGACTCTTCACATCAGGTGGCCAAAGTATTGGAGCTTCAGCTTCAGTATCAGTCCAATGAATATTCAGGACTGATTTCCTTTAGGATGAACTGGTTTGATTTCCTTAAAGTCCAAGAGACTCTCAAGAGTCTTCTCCAACACCATGGTTCAAAAGCATCAATTCTTCAGTGCTCAGCCTTCTTTATGGTCCAACTGTCATATCCATACATGACTACTGGAAAAACCATAGCTTTGACTAGTCAGAACTTGTCAGCAAAGTAATTAATGTCTCTGCTTTTTAATATGCTGTCTAGGTTGGTCATAGCTTTTCTTCCAAGGAGCAAGCATCTTTTAATTTCATGGCTGCAGTCACCATCTGCAGTGATTTTGGAGCCTCCAAAAAATAGTCTGTCACTGTTTCCATTGTTTCCCATCAATTTGCAATGAAGTGATGGGACTGTATGCCATGATCTTAGTCTTCTGAATGTTGAGTTTGAAGCCAATTTTTTCACTCTCCTCTTTCACTTTCATCAAGAGGCTCTTTAGTTCTTTGCTTTCTGCCGTAAGGGTGGTGTCATCTGCATATCTGAGGCTATCAATATTTCTCCCGGCAATCTTGATTCCAGCTTGTGCTTCATCCAGCCAGACATTTCACATGATGTATTCTGCATATAAGTTAAATAATCATTGTGACAATATATAGCCTTGACATCCTCCTTTCCCAATTTGGAACCAGTCTGTTGTTCCATGCCTGGTTCTAACTGTTGCTTCTTGACCTGCGTACAGATTTCTCAGGAGGCAGGTAAAGTGGTCTGGTATTCCCATCTCCTGAAGAATTTTCCAGTTTGCTGTGATCCACACAGTCAAAGGTTGTACTGTAGTCAGTGAAGCAGAAGATAGATATTATGAGACAGAAATTTCTAATCCAAACTAATGTCCTGAATGTTCAGTTGCTAAATCAGAGATCATAATAAATAAAATGAGTTACAAAAATCTTATTGGAAGTCAATACTAGTTCCAACCCAAGAATGAAACCCTGTAGTTCTTGGTTCAGTTCTATATCCTCTTATATATTCTTATAAAGAGTATGTATTAGTTTGGCAGGTTTTTTAATCAAGTATCTTTAAAATACTTTGAATACTCTATCTTAAGAAAATAATCCAAAATGGATCAGACTTGGGGAAAATTAGAGGAATAAATGTGTGAAGAAATACTCTGAAGCATTTTTTTCTGCAATGGCACAAAATTTGAAATAGACTTAAAATGACTCACTCGTTCCCATTTATAGTGTTTGATAGTTGCTTAGTCCTGTCTGACTCTTTGTGACCCCTTGAACTATAGCCCGCCAGGCTCCTCTATCCATGGAATTCTCCAAGCAAGAATACTGGAGTGAGTAGCCATTCCTTTCTCCAGGGGATCTCCCTGACCCAGGGATCAAATCCAGGTCTTCTGCATTGCAGCTGATTCTATCATCTGAGCCACCAGGGAAGCCCTTCTATAAGCCTTGCTCAAGTGTCACCTTCTTTGTAAGACTCACCCTAATGATTCTATTTAAATTGTCCTCCTTCTCCCAGCTCTACCATCCTCCTTCATCTGCTTTCTTTTTCACATTACACTTACCATTCCTGGTGTGTTAACACAGTTTACTTATTTTTGTGTCTATCGACCAGCTTTTCACAAGGGCTTATGTTTTTAGAGGTCATGAATTTTCATCCTTTTCACTGATATATTTGCATCACCAAGGAAAATTCCTAGGTACAGAGTATTGCTTCAAAAACGTTTATTAACCATATTAATGAACTAAGAGACCAGGTTGATAAATTAGGGTATGAGACTTTATTCTACTTATTTAAAGTGTCATAACATTTGAAAAGAAAAAGTAGAAAATCTTTAGAATATACCATTAAGGGAAGGATTGAAGGCAGGAGGAGAAGGAGATGACAGAGGATGAGATGGTTGGATGTCATCACGGACTCAATGGACATGAGTTTGAGCAAGCTCTGGGAGTTGGTGATGGACAGGGAAGCCTGTCACGCTGCAGTCCATGGGATCACAGAGTCAGACACGACTGAGTGACTGAACTGAACTGATACCATTCAGTACCATACCATACTATTCAAATAAAAATAGTATTTCAATTCAAATATTCAAGGACAATTAGGTAAAACTATGCACCAGGGGGGAAAAAAAAAACACCATTGAAAGGAATTGACAAAAAGGGATGAGTTTTACTTTTTTGTTTTCCATTTTGTACCATTTGAGAACTACAGCAAAGTGTTGAGAAAGGAAAGAAAGAAAATGAGAGAGGATGGGAAAGAATGATGAATGTTTTGCCTCCTTGGATTGGGATGTTGTGGGTCTTTTGCTCCTTGCCTGAATTCCTGGCATTTTTATCCAGAATGAAGATGGAACTTTCTAGCCAAAGAACATATCAGGGCTCAGTTTTCCTCTTATTTCCAGAAACATGTGGTTTGCACAATTGGCTCAGAAATTAGCAAGTTAAAAAATTGCATATTAGCTACATATTCAGTTTTATTCACATTCCTCTTCTCCATCCAGAGTCAGTGCACATCCGCTGGATTCCCTGTGGCTGTTATCCACGCCCATCTGTCTCATGGCTCTTGTGTTTTTATCTCTTCTTTTCTCCTGTCCTGCTGCCACCCTTTCCCCCTCCTATCTTTGTCCTAGCCTCACGCATTGTTTGTCCTCAGCCCCCGTTTGTGTGTGGCCTTTCCCTGCACAAATAAAGCTATGGTATGAGAAAGTTCGAGGCCAGAGAAATCCAGAGCAGCTGAGGACTCCTAGCCCTTCTGCCTGCCTTCCCTGTTCATCTTGAAGCAGGTGCACACACCCGGTGCTCAGCACCTACCATTCTGTACCCATCTTTGGGCCATTCCCTCCCACTGTCTGTTCCTGCTAAGACAGGGCCAGTGCTTTCTTTGCTGTATGATTCTCACAAAGAGGTCTCCTTGCCTGTCCCCTTCTCGGTTACAAAGACAATCAGAGGTCTTATCTCTCATATTGCAATAAGTTTATGACTCCTCGTATTTTCCCACTAATGCTAGAGGACAGGTATCCTTACAAGTGTGCTGTTGCTGTTTAATTCCCAGATTCATGTAATTTTAGAATCGAAAGGAATCTTAAAAACCAGCTAGTGGAATCCCCATTACCAGTCCACGGTCAATACTGTGCCAAGTGCATAGATGGTGTTTGGGGAATATTTGCCATCAGTGAATACCATAAATTCAGTCATTATGAACCACTGTAAGATGCTTCTTTTTGCACTTTTAACTTGGTGTTTTAAAAGGTTTTTGGTCATCTTTTATTCACATATATTTATTTAAAAGTCAATGAATGGTCAGGGAGAAGGCTGGGCTCAGAAGGCAATGAGGTAAAACTGAAAAACTAAAGTTGGCAACAGGGTTGTTATAAAGAGGAAAAGGATAGGTTTGCTGATGCAAGAACAAGAGGAAATAGGCTAAAATTATGATGAAAGGATGACATATAACTAATAACATCTTTCACTACGAAGAACTGTTAAATAAAGAAAAGATTGCCAAGAAAAACTGAAAAAAATGACAGTACTTGAGGTTAGTGATATATCCGGTTATGATTCAGCAAATGATTAAATTAGGCTTTCCTTGATGGAGAAAAGTAGAGTAAATATGTTAAATGATTCCTCCTGTAAGAGTCTTGGAAGGGTTAGATTTCCCTTTCACTGAAAAATGAAATGATCCTAATGAGCATGTTCTTACCTACCTTAAAATCACTCCTATAGCTACCTTAACATTAACCCGGAGATTATGAATACTGAATTCACCTTGCTTCTTGACAGGACTGCTGATATTTGAATGATAAATTTTGACTGTCATTTTTTTCCTTGCAGGCTTGTAAATTTTATAGTTCCCAGTGGTATGTGGTAAACTACAAATATGAACAGTATTCTGGAGACATTCGACAGTTACCTCGGTAAGAACCTTTTATGAGTAATCCTTGGATTTTTCTATATATAAACTATGTTCTCTAAGTTCTGTCACTGTTTATGAATATGTGTACATTCATCTAATACCAAGGTATATTTAAAAAATTTAAAAATAAGAGTCACGAGAGAACATTTTGTTGACCAAAGTATTATTTATATCTTCCCAGAATTGGGTGACAGATAAATATACTCATTTAGGTATAGCCTAGGGCGTCCCAAGTGGCTCAGTGGTGAAGAATCCGCCTGCCAAGCAGGAGATCCAGGTTCGATCCCTAGGTTGTAAAGATCCCCTAGAGAAGGAAATGGCAACCACTCCTATATTCTTGCCTGAGAAATACCATAGACAGAGGAACCTGGCAGGCTATAGTTGTGTTCGATTCTTGTGACCCCACAGACTATAGTCCATGGACTTCTCCAGGCTAGAGTACTGGAGTGGTAGCTATTCCCTTCTCCAGGGGAATTTCCTGACCCAGGAATCAAACTAGGGTCTCCTGCATTGCAGATGAATTCTTTACCAGCTGAGCTACCAGGGAAGCCCTGGTACATAGTAGGTATGCAGTAATTATTTATTGGATAAGTAAACTGAGTGGATCAAAAATTTTTTAATCTAATAATCCTGGATGGGCTTGAAGTTGCTTAAATTCAAAGAACAGTGATGAACTAGAATCTCCCAACACACTGGTTCATCAAACTAAAATGATGCATATTATCCAGAAAATAAAACTTAAGGCAGAAATAAGTAAATTTTTTACTAACCCTTTTCTCAAGTGAGACTTTGAGATCATACACATTGCACATAATTTTTTAATGGGCGCATGGTTTAGATTTGGGCACCACTTTCTAAGATCTCCCGTGCCCGCAGAAACATCTTTTCCAGACTGGAATACTTGGAAGTACTGCATTCAACTCCAAATGCACAATTTGAAGAAGGTAGAGTTATGGAGTAGCACTGGGAAAGTGACATTTAAGCTCAGATCTGAAGGAACAGTAGCTACTAGCACTGTGGTCTCCAGAAAAGGGTCCCCAGAGGAAATAACAGGGACAAAAGCTGTGAGCTGGGAATCAGAGTGACAGTCAGAGAATCTGGACCTAAGGGTTGATTAAAACCCTGAAACCAGGCAAGGGACCTTGTGGGCCCTGGAAATGAGCTTGGGTTTTATTCTCATGTCAACAGAATTCTATAGAAATTGTAACCTAGAGTGTGACATGATCTAGTTTACCTCTTTAAGAGATTACCTGCTCTACTGTATGGAAAATGGGATTGTAGCAGTAAGAATTAAAAAAAAAAAAAAAAGAGGGAAGGAGACCATTTCTTTGGAGTTGAGTTCCTGGGAAGAGCAAAGCAATGTTCCTCTAAAATAGCAAGTCTTTATTCAAAACAGTGAATGTTTGGTTTTTACCAAATCTCTGAACATTCCTTTAGATTCAGGTCACTCCTAATAGATAACCTCCTGTAATTTCATGTCGAGATGGTCTTATCACATCCTAAACTTTCATGAGTAATTATTACATTCAGAATGTCTGGACATTAGTCATGCATGTAACTGCCATTGAGAAGCAAAGCATTTTTTTTACCATCAAGTCTTCCTCTTTCTGAAAATAGTTCTGAGAAGTGGTTACAACTTGGAAGCCATGCCCAAGCACTTAGAAGATGGTTTATAAAGGGAGAGAGGGTAGGAAGAGGTGTTTAGCTTTCATTTGGCATAAACGCCTCCCTTCTGTCCTTAGGTCTACTGAACACTTTAATGTCTTTATCTCCAAACACTTCATCTTTTCTTATATACCTGATGCCATAAAAATATATATTAATTTAAAAATTCACATGTACTATATTCTTCCTCCGTTAAAAAATAGAGAAAGCACCTCCAGTCAGAACAGGGTCCAGATGTCATTGCTGACTCAGAATTCTTGTAGAGCACAAGAAGAAATCCCTTGAGAAGAAATGCAAAAGTCACTTAAATATTGTTGAGAATTTCTCTCACTTTAACTTAAGGATGTGAAAGTTGATACCAAGAAGGGAAAGAAGATTGCCACTAAGTAAGAAACTGTAATGAACTATGTATGTATATTCAAAATGAAAATCAGAAGTTCTAGAATAATCCTCACATATCCCCTAAACAAATGAAGATTGTAATATTGAATAGCAAAAGCATTTTTTAATGATTTTACAAGGCTAGGCACTCCCCACTAGACTACAGATATTTAGGTCAGTAATGGAAACATAATTTACTTGGGCCCTCTGAGGCCATTAGAAGTAAATCAGTTTCATACCTCCTGGATTAGAATTCTCCTATGTCTGCTACCAATTTAAACTGATCATTTCTTTTTATGGATTGCTAGGCCATAAAATAAAAACTTAACAATTATGGAGAAGTGAAAAAAGATGTCAGCTTATCTCCCTCACTTTTAGTCTTTGAATTTAAAATTGTGTTATTATTAACTCTTAAAAACCTCACTTTTTTTAGTGTCTGTTCATAGGAAGATATTGGAGACAGACTCTATTTAAGGATAGAATACAAAAAGTAAAGCCTTCACAAATTAGAAATAAAAATCAGTACCAAAATCTGTGTTCCTAAGGAGACAAGAATGTCATTAAAACATACATATGATGTCAAAGGAACCAAGAATATAAATGGAGAAAGGATATAAACATTGGGAACACTGACAGCCACAAGTGAAAGAATGAAATGAGGCTACTATCTTACACCATAGGTGAAATTAACTCAAAATAGATTTACTACTTGAGTATAAGACCAGAGACCATAAAACTCCTGGGGTGGTGGCGGGGGTTGGGGGGGTGGTAAAAAGAAAAGGCATAGGTGATAAACTGCTTGACCTTGGTTTTGGCAATTTTTTTTTTTTTAATCTGACTGGAAACGCAAAGGCAACAAAAGGACAAATAAACAAGTGAGATTCCATCAAACTGGAAGCTTTTGCACAGCAAAGGAAATCATCAAAATAATGAGAAAGCAACCTACTGAATGGGAGAAAATATTTGCAAATCATATATCTGATAAGAGGTTAATATCCAAAATGTACAAATAATTCATACAGCTCAGTGGCAAAAAAAAGAAAGAAACACAATAATCTGATTTTTAAAATGAGCAGAGGATCTGACTAGACATTTTCCCAAAGAAGACACACAAATGGCCCACCAGTATATGACAAGATGGTCAGCATCACTAATCAGCAGGGAAATGCAAATCAAACCACAGTGAATTGTCACCTCACACTTGAGAGAGTGGCTGTAGTCAAACCACCCAGAGACAGCAAGCGCTGCTAAGGATGTGGAGGGAAGGGAACCCTTGTGCGCTCTTGGTGGGTACGTAAACTGGTACAGCCACCATGAAAACCAGCATGGCGAGTCCTCAAAAAATTAAAATTAAAACTACCATATGATTCTGCAGCTCCACTTCTTGGTATTTATTGGAAGAAAAACAAAAACACAAATTCAAAAAGAAGCATGCACCCCCCCCCCCAAGTTCATTACAGCATTGTTTACACTAGCCAAGACACAGAAACAGCTTAAGTGTCCACTGATGGATGATTGGAGGAAGAAAATGTGGCATATACACATAATGGAATACTATTAAGCCATGAAAAGAATGCAATTTATCATGTTTGACAACACGTATAGACCTTAAGGGCGCTCTGCTGAGTGAAATAAGTCAGAGAAAGACAATGCCACTGGGTCTCAGTTATGTGGACTTTTAAAACAAAATAAAAAGAAGACAAGCTCACAGATACAAAGAACAGATTGATAGTTGCCAGAGGTGGGGCGAAGAAAATCAGTTGGTACAAACTTCCAGTTATAAAATAAATGAGTCCTGGAAATGGAATGTACAGTTTGGTGTCTAGCATTAACTATACCATGTGAAATATTCTAAAGTCACCAAGAGAGTAGATCTTAAAAGTTCTCATCAGAAGAAAAAAAAATTTTTTTAATAGCTAAGTATGATGACGATGTTAACTAGACTTACTGTGGTCATCATTTCACAATATATACAAATATAGAATCATTTCTTTGTACACCCAAAACTAGTATAACATCATCTATCAATTATATCTCAATTTAAAAACTATGGATCACACAAAAAATATGATGCCACAGATTTTGTTAATCCATGGGGTAAAATACAGGGATAATATGACATATTTAGAAGTTTTACCACAGATGGGTAGATTTAAGGAAAAAAAATTAATAAAGTATATTTCTTGACAGAAGAGCAAATAAGAGCCGGTTTAGCTGGACTGATTTGGAACAAAAAAAATTTTTTTTAATAAAAGAGTACTTCTTGAGTGTCAACTGTGAGCTGGAATGTTCTGGGTGCCGTATTTACGTTATCTCATTTAATTTGCATGATCCCACGGAGTAGGAACTGTCTTCCTTGTTGTATAAAGGAAACCAGAGCACTAAGAGAGTTAGTAACTTGCCCCCAACCTCATTCCACTCAAGTATCCCCACACTCCTTGTTTGGGGCATAAGAGGTAATTTGGGTATAAAAATGAGAGATAAAACAACCAAAACAGCAGCTACTGTGGGTCCAGACACCAGAGGGTCTGCTGAGCTCTCTAAACCTGGAGCCCAAAGGCCCACAGTGCCATTGGAAGAAGAATTCTACTTTCAGCCAGCAGAGGGGCTTATCTTTGAATGATCTCCAGAAGAGAGACCAGTCATTGGTTAATGGCCCCACAGATGTGAGACTGAGAAACGATAATGGTTACTTAAAAACAGGCATGCTCCAGGTTGGATGCATGAGACAAGTGCTCGGGCCTGGTGCACTGGGAAGACCCAGAGGGATGGGGTGGAGAGGGAGGTGGGAGGGGGGACTGGGATGGGGAATACATGTAAATCCATGGCTAATTCATTTCAATGTATGACAAAAACCACTGCAATGATGTAAAGTAATTAGCCTCCAACTAATAAAAATAAATAAAAAAAAAAAAACAAAACAGGCATGCTGTGCCCTGTGGGGGAGTAGGAAGG